TCAAATCGAAATGCGTAGTTCCTTGGATTGCTTTGAAACTATGTTTTACGCGCTTTTAAGCGATTTTCGGTACAGTTTTTTCCAATCCGAACAGTTGGTGAAGTGTTAAGGTCTTGATATCTTCCAGTTGACGGTGCTTCTCCTCTACACCGAAAAAATAAATGCCTATCTTAGTAAATTCTAAGTAAGTCTAATAAACAATCCAAAAGACTTAATAAACTAAGTAAGAAAGTTTCTTTTTATTTTTTCCTTAACTAATTATAGTTGGGGTAACATTTAAAGTATTAGATAAATCATGATGAACAAAATAAATTGAACCCGAAAATCTTCAATTTCTGCAGTGTAAAGTACTAGTTCAAAATCCACCCCAATATTTTGGGAGTCCAGAACCAGGTTACGAGATGACTAAGTCGCAATAAATGTACCAAATTTCAACTTTGGTGAGTTTTGGGAAGGAGTAGCGAAAGGAATGCGCAATTTAATATTTTTTTTTGCAGAGACAACCGGAGGTCGAACCAAAGGAATATGCGCAGCCCAGGAAAAAAGATTTATATCTGTGAAAAAAGTACGCAATTATGATACCCTGATTCGTGTATCGGGAGTTATACCATATCCATGAGTTTCTAATATTTTAAAATTTTTAAAATTCAAGAATTCAAAGACTCTTTTGCAATAATAAATGTATTTTATTTATTTACCAATTAAAACTTACCATTACTGAAATATAACACTACATTTATTTGCCCTGTGGGGTTCCTTGATCCCACCAAAATCCATTTAATAATCGGAAATAAGAAACTTTTTGACTTGTGAAATTTCCAAAATAACTTTCTCATAAAAATTTAATTTGATTCGCTTGAATCCGTCATAAATAAAGGTTCTTATCACAAAAGCACTCGTTAGGCAATCACTTTTCACTTCATTTCGAAGGGTATTTTACGCCTAGGTCTTGGAATCTTCAATATTCGGGTGTTCCCTTGTTTGAATTTTTGGGGTTGGCAAGGCATTATTTCGTGTATCGAGGCACAACAAAGGATACGGATAAGGGATCGTATCGTTTTTGCGGCTCAAGGACAACGGGATCGAGTTCCAGTGCATGCCAGGACATGCCGGGGAAAGTAGAGAGGCACACAATGGGCGGCGGAATTATGAAATAATAATCAAGTAGGGCATAATCATAATGCCGTAACCTTGATGCAAAGGTAAACAATAATTAAGCCAGGCTGCGGGGATCTTCTATAAAAACGAAAAAAAAATAGGCTCGCGAAGGGGAACGGATAGAGGTATCCTGGTCGGGATCGGCATCACAATCGCACACGTGTTGCTTCCACCCGGACAGAGCTAATCTGCTGACGCATTCAGGACGCCTCGTTTCGGATCTGGATGGGACATTCGAAATTGAGAATTACCGGCAGCTGCTCCGACTTGGCTTCCATCTTCGTCCTCACTCGATTTCCTTGCGACTTGACTTGCGAGCAGCTGCAAAGACGGTCGTTAAGCACACGTGCCAAGGTGAGTCAGCAGGAGCAGGAGCAGGATCGCCACCAGGATCCGAATCGGAATCGCACCAGAGGGACCAAAAACAGGAGCAGCAGCGCTTATATCAGCGAAGCTATTATCCTGCAGCCCGCAGCCATTTTAAAAGTTAACCCTCTAAAAGTTGTATGTACCAAATCGAAAACACTGCCGCCCCTGATTATCTTTGCACTGAGTCATCATTGTCACATCGTTATTAGGCATTTACAGAAACATTAAACTGCCTTTATCAAAAACAAAAGGCCATAACTTTTCTTACAGACATCCGATTTCCAAGAAGCATACTTCTAAGTGATTGTCTTCTAATTCTCTAAAAATCTGTATTCAAATCTTTGTATTTTTGCGTCTCTTTGTATTTTTGCGTCTATTTTCTGTCAATTTTACCAAGTATCCCTTTCCCAATTCTCGAAAAGTGGCTTTACAGAAAAGTTGCCTAAAACCTGCACTTCTAAGCCCATAACTTTTCTTACATACATTCGATTTCAAATTGGCATACTTCAAAATGATTGTGGTTTAATTCTCTAAAAATCTGTGTTTTCAACTTGATTTGTATTTTGGGGTCGATTTTTCGTCATTTTGACAGTGTTACCCCTTTCCAAATTTTCGAAAAATGGCTTTGCAGAAAAGTGACCTAAAACCTGCACTTCTAAGCCCATAACTTTTCTTAAAGACATCCGATTTCAAAGTGGCATACTTCTAAATGATTGTGGTGTAATCCTCTAAAAAACTGTGTTTTCAGCTTGGTTTGTATTTTGGAGTCGATTTTTCGTCATTTGTATTTTTGGGTAGATTTTTTGTTAAATACGTAAAATGAGAAACTGAAAAATGGATTTACTTCTTTTTTTGTTTCCTATGATACATATAAATTAATTTCAAATATTGTATAGCATTTGTAAGTGTTATAAGTAGAAATGGATCTTATTGTTTTCTGAGTCTTTTAAAGGAATTCTGACCTATCCTGCGCAAGGCCTCAATGGGTTAATTTGTAACCCGGTCGAGGATGGTTAATGCCGAGGAGCAGCTGCTGTTGTTGCGTGAGTCGATCACGACATCTATCTGTTCGGCGGCTGTTTTGTTTTCTTGCCATCTTGCCATCTTGCCGACTTGCCACACTGCCAGGACAATTGGCAACCAGTTTGCGCCCTAAGCTTGCGAGTCCTTTGTCCTCGCCAGAAAGCTGCCAGGCAACCAGATCAGATCCCAACCAAAAGAAACCCAACAACAGATGTTTTATTCTCGCGTTGAGGAACGTGTTCCCAAACATGATTTATGGCTCGGCTGCTCCGCGTTAGAGAGTGGGCTGAAATCCCAAGGAAAGAGACGGGGATGTTCGGGATGAAAGAGAGGGCCTCATCATTGTTCCCACTGACCAGCTGCCAGGGCGGCGTCTTGGGCTTCCAGAGGGCCTCCGCCTCGAAGAAATAGCACCAGAACCGGTCCAGGCCATACGATGCGATCCCATCTCTCCAGCTTTGTGTCGTTTTTATGGCGTGTTATGATTTCGTATTACAATTAGCCGGCACAAAAGGCACACGGCTGCCTATTTCTGGGTTGTCAATTGTTTGCATTCTATAAAAACGAAGGCCCCATAAATTCGCAAGACCATGGCAGCGCATTAAAACTGTCAAAATTGTGCAGTTAAGTAGACATTAGATTGGTTTTGACTGCCGACTGGCTCACTACTTCATTAGATGGGTTTTTGATGGGCCCTGATGAAAAGGCAACACTGGCAAAATTTCAAGCTTAACAAAAGGATATTTGATTAACTGGCATTGATGGATACAAACTAAATTCATATAATTTAATTTTAAAATCTTTGGTCACGTATTAAATTTATAGTTTACTTTGTAAGAACTAAGATGTAGTTATTACTTAAAAAAAGAATATGGTTTTCTTTATCATAACACACAGTCTTTAAGGTTTTAATGTTACTATATTAGTATATTTTCCTGCTAAGAATTGATCCAATTTTATCGTTTAAAAAAATGTTCCCATTGAAATTGAAATATTTAATAGTTTGAGCTTAGAAATATTTTGGGGATTTACAAATAAAAGACTATCTTTCGAATTAGTTTCTCATAGTTTCTCAGAATGTCCTTATTATTAAAGAACTGTTGCTTTTGATTATCAATTTGTCCAGCTATAAATATGTTTTGATCCCAGTTTTGTCACTACATTTCTCCAAGTGCAGCCTGATCTCGATCAGTATGGAATGGGACAGGGGCACACACCTCCCGGCAGCACTTAAGACAAATAACTTAAACACCTATCGACAGCAGCCAGGAGCAGCCACGTTTGCTTCCGAGCTAGACGCATTTTCAATTAGTTTTAAATCACAACTAATTGAATTCATTTCGGAGCCCGAGTCTTGGGATCCAGATCGCGATCGGCATCTAGGCAATCTTATCTTAACAGTTATGATGTCCGCATGGCGGCCGCCTGTTTTGGCATTCTTAGCCAAAATTTATTGACAAAATTTGCAACACTGATTGCCAGGCTCCTTGATGAAGGGAGGCCAAAACCAGGTGAGTCGCAAGCGGTGGAAGCTGCATGACCAGTAGCCCAGTAGGCAGAACCTGCCGCTGTCTAATTCAAGCAGACACAATGCGAAAAACTATACAACAAACTTTATAAAATCTTAAAAATGGAGGAATCATTATCCTAAATAACAAATTTAATTGACAATGATTTAAATGACAAACATTTTTAGACCAATATAACACCTTAACAAACTTAAGCATTAAAAACTATAATACATTGTTAGAAATTACTGCGTTATCTTTAACGATCTGTATTGAAAAAGAATATTAAGAAATCCATTTTTGTTTTCGGTGTTCAGGATGGGTTGGGAGACCCACCTTTTGGCAGAACTGCTGCCGGCATATGTGAAATCTATGGTCGTGATGCCTGGCTGGCTGGAAGGCTGACTGCCTGCAAAGTCATAATAAATGGAGCACACTCCGCTCCACGTTGGCGGCGCATGCAAAAAAGATCGGGCGAAAGGCACCGATTGTCCAGAGATTGCCAAGACAAGTGGCGCTGCCTTAAAATCGTTGTGAGGCAACGGCTAAAAATGGGAATCAGGAAGCTTACATGGACTTTCTTTTTTTTCTGCTTCCTTTTTCTTTTTGAAAGTCATAAGGTTGCCGCGCATTCCACTGACAAAAGGTGGTTGCTGCGAAACGGTCGATTTATCGAAGTGTGAGCGTGATTTCGATTGCTGTGAAAGAAAACATGTACTATATTTCTAAAATAAAATATAAGTTACAAAATGAATACATTTTAATCAATAAAAGAAACAAATATTGAAAATATTTGAATAAGTAAAAATAAGTCGATTTGATTGATTAAACAAATTTTTAAACGAAACTGATTACATAATTCAAATCATTAATTTTTTCGCGGCATGCCCACAGCTGTTTTTGATTAGTAAAAGACGAGTTGGCAGTCACTGCTCGTAAATATCTGCCTATCGTCTATCGCTCTGCTGGTTCGGAGCGTAACAAATTAAAATCAATTAAATTTAATCAAAGCCCTTATTAAAGCTACAGCTATAGCACTTGGGAGCAGCGAACCCTACTGATAACGTAGCAGATAAGATAGACCCCCTAAGCTCACTCAGGTGAAAAAAGGTAATAAGAGAGCGGTAGTGTCAATAATCGATTAGTAGCCATTTGTTAATTGGAGTTTTGCTTGTTTATTATTTTTAGCCGGCAGAATGTGGCGACAGCTCAGCGGCGTCGCACGATCAGGAGGCAACGTGAACTTCTGCAGGATGCGAGGACTTTCGGCTTTGGTCCAGGACAAGGCTTTGGTAGATGGAGCTTGGGTGGATTCCAGCAACTCAAAGGCCACTTTTGAGGTCAGGAATCCTGCCAATGGAGCCCTCATTGGAAAAGTTCCCAACATGACGGTGGCCGATGCCCAAAAGGCCATAGATGCCGCCAAGCAGGCCTACGAGTCCAAGGAGTGGCGATCCCTGACGGCCAAAGATCGCTCCAATCTGCTCAAGGTGAGTGCCGGGATCATTCCCTATCAGGGGTGCTCATTCTCGATCCATAGATCTGAATATACTAATACAATTAATACAGTCAAAACCACAGGCCTTAATTAAAGATTATATTTCATGGCATGCTTTTTATAACCTGAATTTCTTAATCCATGTATAACATATAAAGGTTCGCTGATAAATTTAAAAATTAGACTCATTTAATGGAAACTTTATTTTGTTTAGATATTATATTCCTGTAGTCAAATTCTTTTTCTAGTAGATAGTGAATTATATTCATATTATGTTGGCCAAGTAAAGGCATTTATATTGCATTGATAAATCTTAAGGCTACTTGCTTAAAAATAATTATTAATTAGGATAGAAGCCATAATATTCACCATAGTTACAGATAAGTACAACTGTAGGTCGTTGCCAGTTTTACTCTCATTATAAGTTAACCCCTGCTAATCTTATCTAATCTCGGTTTGCAGAAGTGGCACAAACTCATCGAGGAGCACTCGCAGGAGATAGCCGAGATAATGACGGCGGAGTCGGGCAAGCCCATAAACGAGTCCAAGGGGGAAGTGGCCTACGGGAACGCCTTCGTGGAGTGGTTTGCAGAGGAGGCCCGTCGCATCTACGGCGAGATTGTGCCCAGTGCTCAGCCCAATCGGGAGATCATTGTGATGAAGCAGCCCATCGGAGTGGCGGCCCTTATTACGCCCTGGAACTTTCCCATGGCCATGATCACGCGGAAAGCAGGAGCCGCACTGGCTGCAGGATGTACGGTGGTGGTGAAGCCCTCGGAGGACACTCCTCTGACCGCTCTGGCGGTGGCCAAGTTGGCGGTGGATGCGGGCATCCCGAAAGGCGTGATAAATGTGGTTACCACCAACAAAGCGGCCCCCATTGGCGATCTCTTCTGCAAGAGTCCCGATGTGAGGGGCATATCCTTCACAGGGTCCACTGAAGTGGGTAAGCTTCTGTTCCGAAATTCCGCTGATGGCATCAAGAGGATTTGCCTGGAGCTCGGCGGCAATGCTCCGTTTATTGTTTTCGATTCGGCGAATGTAGAAAAAGCGGTTGATGGGGCCATGGCCTCCAAGTTTAGGAACTGCGGACAGACCTGCGTCTCTGCAAACAGATTCTTCGTGCAGGATGGCGTCTATAACAAATTTGTGGAGCAGCTGAAAAAGCGCGTGGAGGCCTTGAAAATCGGCGATGGCCAGGGATGCGATGTGCAAATCGGACCTCTGATCAACGAAATGCAGTTCAAGAAAGTCAGTGGCTTTGTGGAGGATGCGAGGTCCAAGAAGGCGAATATTATCTTAGGTGGAAAGCCGCTGAGTGACAAAGGTGCCCTGTTCTACGCACCCACAATAGTCACCGATGTCCCGCCCTCTGCTCAACTCTACACGGAGGAGGTCTTCGGTCCGGTCGTCTCCATCATCCGTTTCCGGGACGAAGAGGAGGCAGTGAAGAAGGCCAACGATACCAGGAGAGGTCTGGCCGGCTACTTCTACAGCGAGAACCTGCAGCAGGTGTTCCGAGTGGCCAAGCGACTGGAGGTGGGCATGGTCGGAGTGAACGAGGGCATCATCTCCGCTGCGGAGGCACCATTCGGCGGTGTAAAGGAGTCCGGAGTTGGGCGTGAGGGTTCCAAGCATGGCATCGACGACTACGTCGACATCAAGTACATCTGCATGGGCAACCTGCAGTACGATTGAAGTCCAAGGGAGGAGTCACTTCCGCTGCTTTCATATGCTGTCTTCCACTAGAATGCGATTTGTTGACTGTTGTATAAATGTTGTAGAAAAGCACGCCGCTATTTTAATAAATGTGCACAAAGTCTATTTTATGTAAGCATATTTATTAACTAGTAATTGTATGACATTGTAGAATACCTTAATCAACTAAAGATTACTACAAATATAATTTAGTTATGTGCTTTAAATAAGCATTAGAAAGTAAAAGGGAATGTGCTTAATAGTCAAAATAATATTAAACCTTTGAATTTTTATTTTCAAATGACCCGCCCAACTCATTTATCGATAACTATTTATTGAGTTATCGCCAGAAACAGCTCGGTGAGTAATTTTCTGTTAACCAGAAACGGCCACACCTCACCATCGCCACAGCTGTGCGAGAGAGACAGCGACAAAATTACAATAGCCGCAATGTCCGACAAAATTGTAAGTAAATTATTGATAACAAATTAAAAAGCGCGTTTCAAGTGCTAACCGCATAAATGAGGCGATTGTGCAGTGATTGTGGTGCAAATTGGCGGCGGGTCGATTACACGTAGCCGTTAAAAAAGCCGGCAAACAAAGTCGGTCCCCCAATTCGATTGGGTTTGTTGTTGTTGCGTATATATTGCAAAATATAATTAAAGAACGTTTTCCCAATGGAAAGTGCAGGTGAAAATGTGTGTGACATCTATTTTGATGCACTCCCCGGAAGTGTAAATTCGTCCCAAGTTCTTTAATGCGGCTAAAAGTGCAGGCGGTGAAATTAAATGGTACCATGACTTGTAGATTTTCAGCTGAACGAGTGCAGTCTAGGCGAAAAAGTCGACTAAGGGGATTTTCGGGAGTTTTAGACCCGACCTTAAATCTAAATAAATTATTAATAATTTTTGGAGAAATTATTCCGCCAGGGAAATCTATTAAAAGTTCCATTCTTTCAAATCAAACATTTTTTTATAAAAATGTGCACTCAAAAAAATTACCCTATAATTTATTTAAATTTTGTTGATGGTTTCTTATAAAAAATATACATAAATAATTCGATAATTTTAATTTTAAAAAATCAATTTACTTTTTTTTCGTCTTACCAAAGTTCTAAGCCAAAATGCAGTGTATCTTTACGATGCTTTTAGGTAAAAAAGTGTATGTTTATTTAATTTTGCTTGTGTGCAATATATCTCTTTTAAATATGCACTCAATTTGGCAATGAATTGCATTTGTTTTTATTGCGATGCCAACAAATTTTCACAGTCAAGTTCGCGCCTTCATGACGTACAGTCCGAAACACTAAATAAAAAGCCTTTCAGGCTTTGGTAGCTTCATAGCTACACTTGACAACCCCCCACCCAAGCCACCCACCACCCACTCAACCGCCCACTGCACCACCCACCCAGTGACCTATCCGGAAAATCCACAAAATGGCCTGTGCACCTTTGCTGCTCGAGCAGTTCATCTACAGGAAGCGCAATTTCGCCTACGCCTTTGTGCGCCATCGTCTGTTTGTGTTATGCAAACAATCGGTTGGACCAGAAATTCAATTATTCAGCAGCCTAGTTAATAAATAATGTTACTTATTATTATTACAGCTAATTCGCGTTCAGTCTGCGGAGGGCATCAAACGCATCGAGATCTCGCCCAAGTCGAACCTGAAGCATCTCTACGACAGCGTTCAGAACGCTCTGAAGGTGGATGGGTTCGGGCTCTTCAAGGAGCGCAACTTCCTCACAGAGCTCCAGGCCAGTGGCTCCCAGCTGGTGGGCACTTCCTTGAAGCATGGCGACATGGTCTACTTAAAACAGATGGCTGGCACATCGTCGCGCGTAAGTAGTGCTTTCCTCGATAATCGATCTGGTGTTAACCAGGATATTGTACTTCTTTACAGCGCACTAGCACCACTGTCTTGGAAAGTCAGGCGTTCAAGACCAGCACCAGTAACCCAAACAGCGCACGTCCATCCATCAATGTGGTTGAGGATGACGTGGACCAAACTCTGAGCAAGGCGGATGGCACCATCAAGCGCGAACGCGATAGCAAACTGTAAGCTTTGGGCTATATCTTTTTGTTGTCTGCTTAACTAATCAAACTATATATTTTGCAGGTGCCATCACAATGCCAACGGCCGTTGCGTCCACTGCTCCGCACTGGAGCCCTACAATGAGACCTACCTGAAGGAGCAGAACATCAAGCACTTGTCCTTCCACTCGTACATACGCAAGCAGACCTCTGGCATGGACCAGGGCAAGTACTTCGTCTTCGACGACATCAATTGCCGCATCAAGCCAGGATGCCGGGAGCATCCGCCATGGCCCAAGGGCATCTGCTCCAAGTGCCAGCCGTCGGCCATAACGCTAAATCGTCAGACATATCGCCACGTGGACAACGTGATGTTTGAGAACACCAAGATCGTGGAGCGCTTCCTCAACTACTGGCGAACGACGGGCCACCAGCGCATGGGGTATCTGTACGGCACATACGAGCAGCACACCGATGTCCCGCTGGGCATCCGGGCCAAGGTGGCGGCCATCTACGAGCCGCCACAGGAGTCCACCAGGGACTCGATCAATATTCAGCCGGATGAGGGAGCCGATGATGTGGATGCCGTGGCTAGTGCGCTTGGACTAAAGAAGGTGAGCCTTACTCTTTATTGTAGACCCATCAGTAATCTCTAACGATCTTTATTATATTTACAGATTGGCTGGATTTTTACTGATCTCATCACGGAGGATGCGAGCGTCGGCACTGTCAAACAGATACGTGGCATCGAGTCGCACTTTATTACGGCTCAAGAGTGCATCACAGCCGGCGAGCTTCAAAATCGCCATCCAAATCCATGTAAATATGCCTCCAATGGCGTCTTTGGCTCAAAGTTTGTGACCATTTGTGTGACAGGTAAGCTCTGATTGATCTTTCTCGTTATGTAACATATCTCAATGCTGCTTTCACATTTCAGGAGATAAAACCAAACAAGTGCACATGGAGGGCTATGCGGTCTCCGCTCAGTGCATGGCTCTGGTGCGCGATAATTGTCTGATACCCACCAAGGATGCGCCCGAGCTGGGCTACGTGCGTGAGTCCACGGACAAGCAGTATGTCCCAGATGTCTTTTATAAGGTAAGTCTTGAAATTCTTATTAAACGGAAGCTTGGCTCGTCTTACATTGATTAGTTTTAAGGACATAGGGGATAATAAGAAGTTATAACAGTGATGTTCCCCCTTGAAAGATAAAACAATTGTTGGGCAACCTTTATTGAATTACGTTCACACACAAACAACTTCCATATTTAGACATCAATTAAAATGGGTTTACTTTGGTTTCTTACATGCAAAGAAAATCTGGGTTTAATACCAATATGAATTTAACTGTTTACATGTAACATCAAGACGATTACATTAGGTTCCATTCTTTTCCGCGTTTTGTACTTCTCATCATTGCTCTGTTCTCCTTCAGAATAACATTTTTATACCCGTTACTCGTAGAGTAAAAGGGTATATTGTATTCGTGCAAAAGTATGTAACAGCTAGAAGGAAGCGTTTCCGACCCTATAAAGTATATATATTCTTGATCAGGGTCACTAGCCGAGTCGATATAGCCATGTCCGTCTGTCCGTCTGTCCGTCTGTCCGTCTGTCCGTCTGTCTGTCCGTCTGTCTGTCTGTCTGTCCGTATGAACGCTGAGATCTCGGAAACTATAAAAGCTAGAAGATTGGCATTTTGCATGCAGATTCTAGGAGTTCCTACGCAGCGCAAGTTTGTTTCAAAAAGGTGCCACGCCTCCTTTAACGCCCACAATCGCTTATATACGATTTTAAAAATTTAAATATTTCGGAAAAGTAAAAATGCAGTTTTATTGTGTTTATCAATACCTATCGAAATGTAGAAGAAATTTTTCAAATCGGACCATTCGTTAAAAAGTTATGCGTGATCAAAGTTTCTATCTCCATCTCCCTCGCACTCCCTTTAGCTGAGTAACGGGTATCTGATAGTCGGGGCACCCGACTATAGCGTTCTCTCTTGTTTAACATATAACTATGACACACCGATACACAATTGGTGATAAATAGTGCGATTAAAGTTATTTGATATAAATTATAGCCCTTTGAGCAACGTCCAGTCAAACATAATTTTCAAGATTTTTGCCATTTCATTCTTTAACTTATTAATTCATTGTTTTTTTTTTTAACGCTTTCTTTCGGTGTTTGTTCTATCTAATGCATTCTTCATGATATTCAAATATTTCGAGTAACTACAATTTAATCAATAACTTAATTTAATTAAAAATTCCGAGTTTTTTAATAAATATTTCGAATTTCGATTCATTAACTATTTTGATTTTGCTACTTCTATTTTACTTATCCGATTTGATTCCCTTAATTTATTTACGGATGGCTATTCTTGGCATTTTTTTTTTATCAATCACAAACAGGCCCTTAATTACACAAACAAAATGCATATGTAGACATCGAAAAACTATTCCGCTTTTAGATACTTTTGGCTAAGAGATACGTTTCGTGTGGATAATTGAATTGACTATTTCGATTTATTAGCCTATTCTGATTTCACCTCTTTCTTGGTTTTAATTTCCATGAGCTGATCAAGATGTTTTTTATATGGTTCCATATTATTTTTTGTATTTTATTGTATCTAATTCACTATATCCAGGTAACGTCGTAGCGCTTAAACACCAATTGAGTGCCTTTGAATCCTTATGATAAACCTATCAATTATGTTACAATTTCCACCTTTTCCGTGATTATTTAGTTATTTTAGGGCCATTAATAAAGTAGTTTTTTTTATATATTTTAAATAACCTCCAAAACGTTTGTTCGATTTGTAAATTGTTTATAAAAATTTAGTCTGTGTTAAAAAAATTGGCTTCTGTTACTGGCTCTAATTGTATGTTTCGTAAAAAGAATTCCGAGCGTGTGTTTATTTCTACAAAAATTCGTAGCAAGATTAGTAGATTTGTATACCAAGAATTATTATATCGATATCAGAGAGGGTTGTACATTACGTTTAAAGTGTGTGGGTACTTCGAGTTGCTTAGTGTTCGTTGGATTTCAAAGAGGATTTGGCAAGTGGATCAGTCCGCTTGTGATCGGTTTAAATGGTATTCGCCACAATTCCGGATGAAGCTCCTGAGCGACGGTCGTCCCAAGGCATTGCCACTGGCGGCAATCTTATCCACCAACTCGATGCCTTGCACTATGTGACCGAAGATGGCCGTAAAGGAGCGCATCTCGTTGAGCACCATCCGGAACTGGCTGCCCACGAATCCACTTTTGTCCTGTCGCCGCTGTCCCCTTCGCATGCCAACCGTTCCCCGCTGGGCCGGCAATCCAGTTTCATCCGGCATGAAGTATCTGTTCTCGAAGGCCGAGTGTCCCCCGCGTCCGTTTTGCGACTCGAAGTCGCCGCTAATGATGCTCTCGCCTCCCCAGGCCTGGAAAACCGCACAGCCCCGATAGCCGTAGCCACGGTCGTGCCGCACCAGCGCCCCAAAGTTCTCCGCCATCCGGGGGGCAGCATCCGATCTCACCTCGACTAGTACCCGTCCGGCCAGTTCTCCTGCTATTTCCATGTCCAGAAAATAGATGGGGTAACAGTAAGCGGAGGGCTGGCGAAGAATGCTTACCGGGGAACTGGGATGCTCCTGCAAGCGTTCCTCAAAAATCTTCCAGGGAGTCGGTGTCCGGAATCCTGGTTGCTGTACATGCGGCTGCTGCTGTTGCTGTTCCTGCATCCGGAGCTGCGCCTGTTGATCGTACTGCCCTTGCCTCATCATTTCATTGAAATCCTGCACCAAGCCAAGCTGTCCCGGAACCAGAACATATGTGGTCAACTGCGGCGCCGAGATGATGCTGCTTTGGCTGGTGCTATTGTTGCTGCTCTGGCTGGTGCTATTGTTGCTGCTCTGGCCGTAGCTATTGATGCTGCCCTGGCTGGTGCTATTGATGCTGCTCTGCGAGAAGGACGAGCCAGGTGAATCTTCCTCCGGGCCCAAAGCTCGAGTGTACGCGAAGAAGCCGTGGTGTCGTAGCCATTCTCGTTCCTGATCCCGTTCCGCCTGCTGCATGTGCTGCATGTGCTGCCTAACCTCTGCCTCCTGCCGGCGGTGATTGAAATGCGGAGGCACCACCGCTAGTGGCAACAACTCTGGCTCCGGCGGCGGAGTTATGGAGGGCGGAGGAATTATTTGGCGCTGCACCTCGTTCCAGTAGGCGAACACACAGTAATTGGTGAGGATGAGCGCCTGGGGCGGACCCACACTGGCGGGTATGGGACCCGGACGGGGTTGATTGCGCAGCCGCAGGATTCTGTCGTTCAGGTGCTCGAAATCCAGGATCTGCATGCCGTTCTCCTGGACTGCGGCCCGCATTCTGCACTGGAAGTGCACCTCCACTAGCTGGCCATCAAACTTACGCCGCTGGCTTGCCAGCTGAGCGAGCAGCTGCACCATATCGGCACCCGTGAGATTGCCGGCGGATCGATTCAGATCCTGCTCGGCGCGCCGCTGCCAACCCGTCATCGTGGTGGACACCATGCTGGGCTGGTGCTCCAGAATCAGGCGCTTCACATGCAACTGGACGTGGAAGCTGGCCTCGCACATTTGGTGCAGCAAGTCCATCTCGCGGGTGGCCAGTTCGGTGGCCTGGCCAGCAGTGCGCTTGATCTTGGCCAGCTCCGAGGCAAGTAGCTGGCGCAGCAGGTCGTGGTAGTCCACATGGCGGACCAGGCGATGCTCCAGGTGAGTCGAAGCATCCGAGCAGGCGCGGCACAGCAAACGCTGGCAGTTGTGACACCAAGTGGAGTTGGGCATGGCGTGAATGAAACAGTGTTCGGCGCAGGAGGCCAGGAACCTGTCCACACAGATCTTGTCCAACCAGTTCTCCGAGTGGGAGTCGGGCTCTTCGTTGGGCACTTCGATGGGGCTGCCGTTTCCCTTGGAGAAATCTAACATGGCCCTGCCCAAAACCAAAGCGGGCAGCTCACCCAGCAGGTACATGATGGCCCTGGGTTCGGGCAACTTCTGGCCACACAACTGGGTGACGACACCGCACAGCCGGCAGATGCACTCCGTCGCGTTGGCGATGGCGCTCCTGGCCAGGCACTCCTCGCAGAAGCTGTGCTGGCACACCAGCTCCTTGGGCAGCACACGGGTGTCCATGTTGTAGGGACGATGGCACAGGCCACAGCTCAGCAGCGACTCCAACTCCTTCGGAATCTTGATGGACGTGCCCATTTTTCCTCAGCACTAAAAAATAGAAAATTCTACCTAAATTAATTTGTATTTTAGGGGCAACTGTATGTTGCGTGTTCCTATTCCTATGAAGTACTGATATGTCTGGGGTTGTGGTAGAGCTGACATTCGTAAAAGCGTTTTTCAAGGAGTACTGTGTTCATATATTGTGTTATGCAAGATTTTATTTCGAACCCAACAGTGTGATATAATCAAAATCTTAATCTATGTGGTCTGCATCCTCATTTCTGCACTCATTACTTTGAAAATAATTGAATTTTATTTAATAACGAAAGTAACAGCCTCAAGTATCTTTGATTGATATCATTTTCTGAGTGTTTCAGTGTCTGAGCAAAACCAAAATAGTCCCCCATAAACAACTCCAGTTTAATTTGCGGTTTCCCACAAATCATCAACAGATGCCTTCAACTTTGTTTGCACTTAGCTTGAGCCTCTTATGAGCAATAAATAAATAACCAAACTAAACGAAATTGAAAAGTTCTTGCTTTGACAAAATACATTCTCAAAACAAATAAATACTCAGAGCGACAAAGAACAGACTTGAAATTATTTGATTTGAATGCCCCATTAGAAAGTAACTTACTTGGGATAAGCCCCCTTAAGATCCTTTCATTTATTCTTGATTTTTAATCAACAAAAATTTTTGTAATTTTAGAATTGATTACCCTTTGTGTTGATTGTGATTTAACCTTTCACTTCCACCTAAGACCAAAGCCCACTTCTTGTCACTTGGTCATAAGTTGCTGGCCTAATTCTTTGTGAGACCTTTGAAAAAGTTTTCGCCGTGTGGCATTTATTACGACTTTGTTCTAAGCTGTGTAATCAAACTTTTTTTGGCGTTGGGCACCCGAGAGTTGAAACCCCAATTTAATGTGTAGCAAGTGGTTCCGGGGGTCAAGTAAAGGCGGCCATGGCAACGGACAAAAGTCTGGCCGAAAGGAAATAGCATCGCATCCGAGCCGAAGCCAAAACTTTGTGGGCAAGCAACATGCGTGTTCTATTTATGTTGGTTATTTTGGCTTACGTTTCACTCACAACTAGCTTTGAACTAGGTTAAACTAATTAATTAATATTCCATCGAAGTAATTGCGAGCTCTGTTTAGCCGGTTTTTATACAAATGAGTGGTCTGATTGGATCAGGCTTGGATCTTTAATTCATTCTAGTTATTTACCCTTTATTTGGCAGTTTTTTAGTTATAGAGATGAGAAATAACTTGTTTTGGTTAACCGTTTCTATTGAAATGCAGATATTCAAATATACTCCAATATAAATTTAAAAAATAATATCAAGTTGTAAATTTTGTATTTTGTAGCTGGGAATATAAATTACTTGAATTTTTGTCATAAAATTATAATTTAGAGGGAGTACCAATCCTTGTACATGTACATATCAAATTAAGTCCTTTTTTTGAGCCATTTGTCCGGCATACAAAACAAACAAAAAAAAACATTGTTGAAAAATGTACTCTAAACTGACCTTCTATAATTTTTTTCTTTTGTCTGTCATGCTGTTATAATACACCTGTACAACCTGAATGCTTCAAACGGTTTGGTTTTTTCCACCTCTACTCTATTTTCTTCCATGCCATTGAAACACGTTTCAGGCATTCCTTACGCTTATTTTGTTTTCTGTTTATTATTCACTTTTTGTGTATGTTTGCCATTTGCTTCCCCTACGATTCCCTCCCCCTTTTCTCTGCAATTATGCAAATGCCTTAAGCTGTCTGCGAATTCAGCTGCCTCCGGCAATTATAGAGTGGAGTTCGCTTCGCATATGGCGAGAAAAGCATTGCCTACTTTTTACGGGGTTCCGTATTTTTCACACTTTCCGCCATCGAAGCAAATTTGTAAATTGTGAAAATAAATTCCTTGGCAGGCTGTCATTGTCGCCTAGGCATAAATTCATATTTATGCCAGTTGTTTTGTCTTCCAGGAAAGTTGTGTTTAGAATGAAAATGTACGAAATGTGCGCGAATTCGTTTCGGTAATTGTTTACAAGTCTGGAAATTAAGTTGACTACTCGGTGTAATTCATGACAATTGTTGATGAGCCAGTTGTGTCTTTTAAAAGAGGGAAAAGCCATGTCAAGACAATGACAGATTTCTGTTGTTGCCGTTTGCCCGCTTTATTTGCTGTTCTACAATAAATTAACCGTCCGACTTGTGTCAGTATTATTCAGGCTTAAGTCACATTTAGCCACGTTTACACGAGTTTAGGCCATCAGCCCTCGACACCTAGAATGCCCTAATTAGTGAGCTTGCGCCCAACAAATGTTATCGCTTAATTCTGTTTGCGGAGGCAAATTCTGCAACCGCAGTAATTGTTCCTTTTGTTTTTTCAGTTTTTGTGAGGTTGCGGTAATTGGATAACTTTTGCGAAAACTTATTTGCTATTGAGTGTCAAATGTGGGTTTTGTGAGCAAAGTGGTTATTAAATATTATTATCAAGGGGATGTAGGATGGAAATTCTAATTGGACGTTTGAAATGATATTTGAAAGCTATTTATAAATTAGAAGTGGGCTTTTTATGACCTCACCATAGAAACATTTACTATCTGGAACTACTTTGATGAAACTACCAAAATACTTGTTATTGAAGCTTAGAATAAACTTTTTGGCAAGCATTTAAAGCGATTCTTAGGTTTTGTAACTCTAAATGTTTTAAATCGTTTTAATGAACTGACCAGATTTGTTTACCCAAATTTCCATTTTGTATGTATTTACCCATACATTTTTAAAGGCCTGTTGCTCATTTGTTGGTCGGGTTCCGCCCTGGGAATTGTCTCGAAATCACCTTTTGTCTGAAATAAAATGTATGTTGGTGTGTGCCTATTTATTTATAACACTTGCTGAAGCCTTTGGCTTAACACATGCAATTCCCAAATGAAATGAAAAGTTTTTCTTGCCACGAAAAGGAACTGGCTCACTTTAATGAATTTTCATTAATTTTAAATGCAAATTAGTTTGAAATTCTTTTAAAAAGAGTTTCACACGAATTTGTCATTTAAAATCATTTCGGGAAATTTCAACAAATTACTCTTTCAACGGAATTATTCCGAAGTTAATATGGTGCAAGAATTCATGTGCTTCGCACTTCAATCAACTTTTTCCACGGAGTAATTTCGAAGCTAAAAATGCTCGAAGGGCGCATGCATTCCGGCATTGTCTGTTCAATCAATTTTCAGAACTGCGTCAGCAAAATTCAGGCCAAGCATTTGGCTTAAAATCATAAAAAGTGGCGAAGGCAAATCTGCAAATCGATAAGCAATTTGTGGCCTGGTTTGCTTCAGTTTGCGGCCCACTTCCTACTCGTTGGGCTCATTGTCAGTGTCGACCCTTAGGACATCGTCCTGGCTTTCCGTTTTTATGCCGGGCAATAAAAATTTATTGCGTGTTTGTGTGTCACCTTCGATGGTCAGAACGGCAGGAGGTCTATATTTCTGGCCGGACTACACCGCAAATTCCCCTTTGCTAATTGCCATAAACGGACTTCGTCCAGCTCAATAATTGCTTCCCCCACTTTAATGACAGTGCAAACGTGCTGCGAATTTCCCAGCCATATGGCCAAGTCTGCAATTCATATTTGCAAGGAGGAATCGAAGGATTTCGAGAATTTGTGGCGAGGGAGGGAGCTCTGCTAACTTTATTTGAATAACAGCCTGGTTCAGTGTCAAAGCTTCTTTTGGTTTTGTTTTCAATGCTGTTCTACCTTTCTGCTTTTTAAATTAATTTTGTTAGCAAAAAAAGTTCTACAAGAAGTACTAAACAAAGTCTGTCAAAATAGATAAAATAAGATGAACAATAATTTGACTATGAATTATTACTCCTTTACAAACTACCCTTTTTGTAGGGTATGGAAAAACAAGTCCTGAAATCATTTGGACAATTCAATAAATGTGCAGATTAGTAGTTAGAGCTGCTCAGTTTTTGCACACACAACATATGAAGGTTGCGAGTAAAGTTGACAAATAATTAGCATACTTTTGCGGGAAACCAACCTTTTTTGATTGATGGGCGGCCAGCCTTTCCTGCCTGACTTCAATCATGCAAATTAACCTTCAGCGTGTCAAATCATGTGCTAATCAAAGTAAAACTTTGATGGATGCCAAATGAAATGTGTCGAATCTCTGGCAAATAAGTGTGCCTGAAGGTTTGCATCCGTCGAGATATGATAATGAATCTACTGATTGAAATCATCTAAAGACAAAAAAAAAGAATTTGGTTGTAAAAAATAAAATATGAATTCATCAAAAGCAACTCTAGGAAAATTTTAGACTGCTGTCTTAAAAAATAATTATATTTTATTTGGTAACAAAATTAGTTTACTATAAAATAGCTAGTAAGACAATTACGATATTAATTATTTTTGGTTAGATACGTTTTTCGATTGGGTTTTCAGTTCTTTAGAAACTTCTTATAAGCTTTTAACTTTGTTTAAATTAAAAACAGATTTTTTTTGTGTTTTAATCATTTTCATAACTTTTCGCACTGCAGTTAAAGTAAGTGCTTTAAAAACACTTAAATCTTACCATAAAATAAGTGAATTACTCCTGAAAACTTGCAGCCATTAAAAATTTGTATGAGTTTTCTTCACACTTTAAAATGCACAGGAACTTGATTGTTTTTTACCTGTTATTGTTGTAGCATTATTTTTTTGTTTCATATTTTCTACCTTGAAAATGCATCAAAAAATATTTAATTTCGTATTATTTTACGCTTATTATTGTTTTGTCATTTGTACACTCGCACTCGATGCTTCTCCTACTTTTGGGTGCACTTGCAGGAGGTGAAAGCTTTGAATATTCTACTTTCACTCTTTGGACTGATTTTCTTCTTGATGTTCGCTGACTTTAGTTTGGTCTTTTGCCCCACCGCCTGCTTTTGCTCCTTATTTGTCTGCACTTCCTGCTGGGATAAGTCCTCCGATTGCTGCAGTTGCTGCTGCTGTTGCTGTTGCTGCTCGTGTTGCTGCTGTATCTGTTGCTGGTGTTGCTGCAGTAGCTGTTGCTGTTGCAGGCGCGATTTGAATGCTGCATTGCTAAGCTGCCAGCTGCTGGAGGAGGCTCTCAGCGGCGATGGCTTCGTGTGCTGCTGCTGGTAACTGGGCGCCGCACTGGCCAATCCCGCCGAGCTCTCGGCGCTGTTGGACGAGAGCGTGGAGGAGGCTACCGCCGTCCAGAACATGATGACCCAGCTGGCTAACGATTCTACGCATCGGATGGCACTCCTCCAGACCAGGCATGTTAGCCAAAATAAAAATGGAATGGAGATCGGGAGTTCGGGGCACAAATAACCGAGGATAACGCGTGCCGTTTGACTTTCAGCGCGACTCAAAGCTGGGCTCGTCCTGCCCCTGTTGCGATTCGTGGGCAAATGCAGCCTCGGCCCGCCAGGATGTGGCTTTTATAGTCCAGTGAGAGAGCTTGCAAAGCTCTGGACATTCTGGCGCTCTCTTCGCCTCGCTTCCAATGTCAATGTCAAGCTGCTTTTCCCTTCGTTTAACTGCGTTTTCCTGCTCCACACGGCATGCAGACACATTTGCATACAACTCTGCCAGCCATTTTAATATGTTATGCTGCAGTCTTAAAAGCTTTTTTTTTTGGCTGTTTTACAGGCATCATTGACTACAAAATATCTATAATTAGACACAGTAAAATATGCCAATTAAAAGGATGGCAGTTTCAAAGAAAACTTTAACCTGATATGACAAAGCAAAAATGTATATAAGTAAAGTATATTTAGTTATTAAAATAGGAGGAATACATTTATTCAATTTTTCGCTGTATAACAAACTCTTTCAATTTAAAAATTGTCGAAATTTCAAAACCAAATAATACTTATTTTAACTATGAGACGAAAATGTGTTAAAAAGTTATTGAGGTTTTTCCTTCTGTAAATTTAGAATGCTTATAAAGTGTGGGTGTAAAAACTGGAAGCCCTTCATTTTTAAAGGAGTTATGGACACGAATCCTGATTTGATTTCTAGTACATTTTTGTTTTGTGTTTACTTTAAGCAAAAATCGCTCCAGTTATGTAGCTTGGTTTAATGCGGATTTTTTCTACATGAATACATTTTAAGTGCCTACTTGATTTTATATTTTTAACCTGTTGAACGGTTCTTGAAAATCTACTTTAAATTCTTATCACAATCCACGCACTGTGGGATGCACCGAAAACTATTTTATAATTGATTTAAAATAAATAAAGCGTTTTGACCCTTCTACTTCTGACAATTCACCAGGTGGATTAAGGTTAAGCCAATAAATTACTTGAGAGGTTAGTTTTTGGGACGACAAGTTCCTGGTATAATGGAATTTACTAGCAGGATCAGTAACTTTGCAATGTCCAGCGGGTAATCTGTTTATTGGCAAAAACTAAGTTCTGTTGGTACAGCAACCTGTGGAATAGCCACCCAACTGCATGGTGGACTGATGAATTTTCCTGCAATTCAATTTAAGTTGACAAACTCGATTTTATTTCGCTGACGTAAACGGAACCGGAAATTTGTAATACAACAAATTTGAAGGTGCTTTCATGTAATAACATGGTTACCTGCAGGCATCCTGCTCACCGCTTATTATGTGCGTTCATTGATTTCGTGTGAGCATTTTCCGCTTGACCAGGTCGTTTGCCACCTGCCTTTGAAGCTCCTGTGTTTTCCTGGCTCCGAGGCTAATTAACTTATGCATGTGCAGCTCTGCGTGCTATTTCATTCGAATCGGATGACCTGCCAGCGAGTCCGACTTGTTGACACGCTGACGCCTCCGCGGCTGACACGCCCCCGTTTCGACGACCACCCACCCCCCTCCCCCTCCCCAACATAGTGGCAACTTAATTGCGTTGGTCGCGAATCTGCAATTATAAAGGCTGCGTGGGCGAGGTATGTCCTGCGCCTAAACCGCAACATGCCGTCTTTTTTTCCACATTATTAACGAGATTGCTACTTACTGCTGAAATCACATTTTGATTCTATGAAATCTGCATCGAGTTTCTGCAAATGCAGTCTGACATTCCTCCAGTTGAATGCATTTTAATATTAACAGTTCGCTTAGTTATCAATTTCAATAGAAAAGGTCAAGGCTACGCTTCCCAGTTATATGTCAAATATATTTTGCTTAATAATTTAATATTTATCTTGCGCCTTCAGCTTTCTTTTTAAGTTCAACAGTTTTTTGATAGTAATCAAATAACGCTTGAACTCATAATAGAAAAAAGATAGATAGATAATAATAATGTTATCCATTTGTGGTCAACAAATTTGCTCTATTTTATAGTTTTGGTATGGAATATTGTTTGGTGTATGGTTATAAAAACTTTTAAAAAAAATTTAAGATGACCAATAATTGGATTAAATTTGGCAACTGTTTTATAATGCTAAGGACATTGCTACCCGTAATTACTTAATATTTTATCATCAATTAAACAGATCTTTTTGTACTGATTTTGACCCATTTGACTAAGGCATACATCTGTGACCTTTTTGTCGACCATTGCCATTCCGGGGATTCCCGGAACGGGGTCATCTTTGTAGCAGCATACTTTCAGGGGTCCAGTAAGTCGGGCAGGCTTTAGTGGCCCAGTGGCTCAGTGAAACTTTAGCGAGCACAGTTTTCTGTCTGTCTTGAGCAGTGGATCTGGTGACCCTGGGCGTCTTGCAGCCGCTTTTAGCCAGGTCCAAGACCAAAGACGAGTGCCGCCGGCCTTCATAGACGTTGGCAAGGTCATTGCCGAGCTAACAGGTTGCTCGTCAGCGAGCTTTTAGAGAGAGAGTGAGAGCAAAATGGGGGAAAGTACAGAACAAATCAGACGTCAGCAAGCGTTTTTTTCCCTTGCTTTGTGGCCCAAATCAGATGTAGGTCACTGGGCCAAGTCTAGCCAAGCTAATCTTGGCAAAGCTATCCATGAATAACCTGATTTCCACTCTTTTCTCTTCTTTTTCAACCAGGAAAAGGACCAGTACGGCAACGAGGTGCAGCGACTGGCTCGTCCCCTGCCGGTGGAGTATCTTTTGGTGGATGTGCCCGCCTCGACTCCTCTGCAGCCGCAGTACACCTTCACCGAGTACGACAAGCGCCAGCCATTCCCCATCGAAAACCGATACATCGACGGCCACCTGCAGGACTTCAACGCACTCAGCTGCTACTTGTCCGGCTGGGGCGACGAGGAGTTCCTCGAGGCCATCTCCGACTTCCACCTGCTGGTCTACCTATACAAGATGGACATGCTCCCGTTGCGCCAGCACATGGGTCCGCTGCTGGAGGCGGTGCGCAACAAGAACCCCAACCAGGCCGCCCAGTTCAAGATCGAGGATGTGTGGAAGCTGCTTGAGTCGCTGATTCAGGCCAGTTCCGGCGGCAGTGGGTGAGTTTGCAAATGCCCCCAAAAGCTTTCCCATTTCCCTGAATACAGTCCCCCAAATTCAACCATGTTTTGCTTAACATATTAAGTTTAATAAACTAACAAAAAGATTTTTTTTTTAATTATTCTAACCGAAATCTAATCGGACGGGGATTGATGTTATTTGATAAAGATTCTTATATCAAACAATCTAATTACCAGTCCAGTAATAATAAGCTGATTAAATACGCAATTAATTCGTTATTTTTTCGTTGCAGTGGCACCACCAGCTATCCCAGTGGTGGAGCATCGGCCAATTCCGGAGCCGCAGGCTCGGAGGCGATGGATCTGGACGCCAACACCTGGACGTGCAACCACTGCACCTTCATCAACCGCGGCGAACTAAACTCCTGCGAGATCTGCTCGTTACCCAGATAAGGATCCCCGACGAGAAAGTTCTACGATTTGCAGCCTAGATGAACCATTCGAAATTCCGGTGTAAAACAAACTAAAGATTCAATCATACTTACTTATAGCAGCGGCTGGAAGACATGGGTGTCCCTCCCACACACACACATACACATGCACACTTAGAGGCGCACGCACATACACAAACACACGCAGCGGCTCGTGCGAACTTTGCGCATTGTCTCTATGTAATCCTTGTGTAAGAATTTTATAAAATAAAACAAAAAGAAGGAAGGAAAATTTAATTTATTTTTGAATAAATTTCAATTGTTGTGCAAGTTGTGGTTTTTATTTTAAAAGTATCGCAACCGAAATTGCATTCAGAAAATACCTTCCTATTTCAACATTTTTCAGTGTAACCTGTAACTTTCTTTTTGGACGCAAGGCAACCAATTTTTCAGAGAAAAGAAGAGTTCGTAAGTGTTTTTGTGTTATAACGTTGTCAAAAAAAAAACGCGCAGCTAAAGGATAGTCTGTTTTCACAAATTTCAAATAAGTTCTTTTATATTTGTTTAACCTTAAAATTTTAAACCAGGAGGCGACTGCTGAAAATAACTAAACGAAAATTTGATTTAATTTTGAATTGTGTTATTCCTCCTTGCAAGTGCAATATTTTTCAATTACCAATCAATGTAGCTTACGACATTAAAAAATGCAATCTTACCTGTCCGCTGCAAATATTATTTTCAATTACCACCCTTTTTAGAGAAATGCATTTTATTTAAGAATAGTTATATCAGTTTTATTTATTTAGAAGTTTGTCCTCCAAAAGTCATACAAAATATACATTTATAATAAATTAAATTTGTAATATTTTATTTAAAATATGTTTTAATCATTACTCATAAACAAAGTTAAATAGGTTTAAAGTTTAGGTCGCTGTTGCACTGGCTGTTTTTTCAAGCCCAAAAAATTTAGATAGCACGATAGAAAACAACGTCAAAAATATCTAATTGACAAATATTAGTCTACAACCAAATTTCAAGTGGATTAGAACACACTACTCCATTTCGGAAAATCTATTACGAAATTTTTTCAACTAAATTCCAAAAATTATTTTATTGGATTGCCGATTTTATTAAGAATGGCGCTTCGTCTTACAACTCTTGCTCTCCGAAGACGAGCTCCACTACTTCTAGTGCCAAAGGTAAGCCATGTTTACGAAAGGAGGGCCTGTTCAAATCCTTGACCTCTCCTTCTGACCCAATTTGCAGTTGCAGCCACCAGCATCAAGCCGCACTTTACTACTCAGGAGTAAGTACCGAAATAAGGAGCATCCAATTTAGGTCGCGGCGATCTGAAACTCCGTTTCCTTTGCAGAGAACCTCGTACCGTTCATAGATGATGATCCTTGTGTGTTCTCGAAGAAAGCCGTCATGCACCATTGGGGGGTAAGTGATATGATCTGATGTGTATAGTTAGAAACCCCCAGCCCAGACTTACCACATCCAACCAATAACTGAAAGGGTTTATTATTTGTTATTAATCTAAGCTATTTAAAAGTTGTGGCAAGAGGTGTCAATATACTATCTAGATCTATAGAAGATTCCGTTAGTTAATAAGTGCCAAATTTAAAACAAATTCATAATTTGTGTATTTGTTAAAATATTAATAACGAAAGACAATTTTACCAGACTAACTACGCGCAAGATTCATAAGTACAAAATCATATTATGTGTGTAGGGTGTGGAAAATGTACAGAAATTAAGTTGGTTGAAACTACAGAGCAAATTATTTTATGTGAAACATTTATTGTGGTATATATGTTTATATTATATATATATAATTAATTATATTAATACGCTGCAACATTTAAGATGAGTTTGGTTTGAGTTTCGTGTGGGTCAAACAGCAAATTTTTACGCAAATTCAAGATTACACAATACCAACTGATGTTTGTCTTTCTGTGTGAATGAGTGTGCATGTATGTACTACGCTCTAGTCAAATCTATACGTTATCTATAAATACTTTGTATAATATATAAGTTTCAATAATATTTTATTTATACTGCATAAGAAGCTAAGAGCAACCAACTTTGGGAACAGAATTCCGAAAACTTCTCGAAATCTTAGACTTTATCGCTGCTTTTGTATATAATTTTGTATTGCATAAACACTTGCAACGTAAAACACTAAATTTTGCTTGAGATTTTAACCGTATTCTCCGTATATATGCTTTTCTTATTACGACCAACACAGTGTGTATCAGAGTATCATTAAATTGGTTCATATTTCAACTTGGCGCTTAGGATCTAGTGTTAGCTTCTTGGGTCGTCATTTTAATGTTCAAGATCGCGCTCACGGCAGCACATCTTTAAAATACAAATATATATATTTTTATATGTATCTATTACTTGAGTTTGCCTCAACATTAACACATCGGTATCAAAGTTATATATGTATGTATATATATTGCTTATAAGTTGTCCTCGCTCCTATAATATCTGACTGTTAATTGTTGAATCATATGATTTACCTTTTGCTTAGAGGATAATCTCTAATAAACTTTAAGTTCACACAAAAAGGGTATTGTCGCATAAGTATTTATTTAAATACCGTTTTCTTAGCTTTTTGCTTTCTGATCATTGATCTCAGTTAAGATATTTCTGTATATCATAAACCATGCATTGCCTTCTGTGTGTTTAAGCTTAAGGTAAAGCAATAAAAATATAGATTAAAAAGTAGAATCTGATACCTCAGTTTAATTTATATACAAATCAGAATGATGGATATAATAATGCTGTAAGTACTGCACTAAAAGCATGAGTATCATACACTAGAATTAAATAAAAGAAAATATATAGCCGGTTCTCAAATGATAAATTTGGAAAGATCTAAGTAATTTAAATTAAGGATAATTAAATGTTCCTCCATTGTTTTAAACATCTATCTGTAGAATTTGAATCTAAAAAAGGGTTTTTAAATATTCGGAAAATCTAATAAAATAAATATATATATCTAATTAAATAATATATTGTATACATATATGTGTATATCCATATTCCGAACCAATAAATCTAAACCCAATTCATACAAAAATTAACTTTGAGCACCGGATATAAAATTAAAATAACAAACTAAAGTTCAGAGGCTAGATAATAAAGTGAGTTGTTTATAATCAATATCGATGTTACTAAATGAGTAAATTTACCATTACTTTTACGATTACAGTTACGTGGTACCAAGTTCGAAACGACGTGTACGTTATACGAGTACACTTTACAAAGTCTAATATGACGGTGGTTTCTAATTCAACTATGAACTAATTAAGTACGAGTATATATATTTAATTACAGCTAGTCTTACGCTAAACATTAACAATACAATATGTTATACAGACACTTCAGTTTTTGTGCATTATACAGGAAAAAATTATTTCGTGCAAACTACTTTCAAATTACAAACATACTTTTCCAGATGTTATTTAAATCTTATTCCATTTTATTTCAAATCAAATACAAAGGTTCTATTTGTAAAATTTTCTTTCACATTTCGTTTATTCATTTCAATTCAATTCAAAAAGGGTTTATGCCACGAAGTTTTTCAATAGGAAAATTACACAAAGGGTTCACATTATATTTTTTTGTCAGCAATTTGTTTGAATTTTCACGGTTTGGAACTAGGGGTTTTTGGGCTAAAAGAGTAAATACCGTTTACATGTCCTTTGTATATATCGAAAGAATTCTATATTGTGTTTCAGTATAATATATATATGGGTGTCTAAACATCGCTACAAGTATAGAGCGAGAAATAGAGCGACAGCAATTACATTTTACAGTTACAAGATACAGGGTGTTGTATATAATTAATTCGTTTCTCGTTACAAGCTAATCAAATAAAAACCATCTCGTAAACTAATGTATATAAGGTTGGCTGTTATAGTAGAACTGGATACTTTCTGATCTATGGATACGATTCTCAGCCCAAGCCACTCTCAATTCAAAGGGTTCATACTGCTTATGGCCTAAAAGTTATATCGTTTTTTGTATATATATATATATATGTGAAAACTTATGTCTAGCCCTCAAATTGTTTACCAAATCGTTCAATATAATGCACTTGCTTATCGATTATATAGTTTGTTTTACTTTTGCTTGACCCTCATTCCGATTCTTGGAGAAACAAATTTACAACAGTTAGTAAGAAGAGTTTTCCACCCGTCTGTGCTTTTTGTAGTGAAAGGTCAAAGCGATTTTTGTTAGGGGAGCATAATAAGCGGGAGAACCTGAAATCAAGATCCAAAACAAGGCTCTATACCGTTTACTCTTTAAAAGGTTATTTTCGTTTAAAATTCCTCGTTGCAAAAATTGTACTGATTGATTACGTGTAACAAGTATAGCCAAAAGCTGAGCTCGGTCTGCCCCTTGAAATTGTTTCGAAATCATCGGGGGTGTTCGACAAAATATAAATGAATTTCATTTTCCCTAAATTTTATTTCTCCCGTTGTCACTATTGGTGTAAGAACTTTTTTCATGTCAATTAGTTGCTGGAAGACGAGTCTAAGTTATGTTTTCGTTTAGGAAAGTCTTAGCAAGGCTTTCTGCTAAAATTTTACTCACCTCAGTATTTGATTTTTCTTTTATTTAGCCCTTTTAAAAAAATTATCGGTTGTATTTAGTTGAACTTGGTGTTGAATTCGTTCGTTTCGATTTTCTTTTCTCTTCAAAATATAGCTCAGTATAAGTGATATGTTACGAGCCAGTAAAAGAAAACATCCTTCCTTGCTATATAAGAAAACATGTTTCTTCTTTAAATATATATATATATTTTTGGTTTTTGTGAATTTTTCTGTAGTATATTTGAATTCTTCCTGCTTAACACTTAAATTAGGTTTGAATACGACTTGTTTTGTCTTTGATTTTAGCATTTCGTTAAGCATTTGAAATGAGCAAAAGTAGCCATTCACTGTTTCTTATTAATACATTATGCATTTAATATAATTTTTGCAATCGATAAATATATAGCTTGTTCGTCAAAGTATCCCTCGAATACTTTGTACGCATTGCTTCAAAATTATTTAACACTTGGACTTAATGTTAAGCTTATTAACTAATTCTCAATACGATAAATTAAAGGTTTCTTGGAGCATTTTTAATGTGATTTATATGTTTTGTGGTTTTTATATTACCCAGGGTTAGTCGAGGGAAATAATTGCTTTTAAATTTTATTGTGTACGTTCGATTTGTTGGTTTTTATTTTACCTTATACATTTATTGTTGATTTTTCACATATTACTTACCACTTTCTGCATTTGTTTTTAAAGAATTAGTTTGTGCCTATGCACATCAATTGACTAGCTTGTTGAGAGTGTGTTGGTGTGTGTTTGGTTGTATTAGTGTCAGTTTTTCATAGCGCTTGGTTGATAAGAAAAACAACAACGCCAAACAATAAGCAAGAAGCCAAAAATGCCAGTTCAGGAAATAAAAAAGGGTCTAATTAAACTAGTTTAATTGGGGTTTCACTTTTTTTATGATCTAGTAACCTGATTTGTGAATTTAGCTAAAAATTTGGTCCTCATTAGTCACTGAAATCAACACTACTTATGGGATGCAATCGTAATCGGTCATCTAAAACAATATCCAAAATGAAAACTCGATGTTTGCGTGGTTTTCACAATTTGGGTGATTATTTAGGAAGATTTCCTGGAGTATCCTTCAGAAAACCTCTCTATCCACAAGTTCAGTTTGTGTAGTTTTCTAGGGTAAATCTCGAAAACTTCTGGTTTTGACACCATCAAAGTGATATGCGTTGTTTTGTAGCCTTCACAACAACAGTTGATGAAATGTTTACTTTTCCTCCCTGGTTTTTCCTGGGTATACCAAAAATTCTACTCTTAGTATGCAATTTGACACATTTTGAGAGACGCCTCAATATATAATTGATATATACATATAATATATAATTTTTTGTTTTGGTTTTACTAATTGAATATATCACGGTCTTGCTAAATATCATCGTATGTGTGTATATATATGTATCTGTATCTATCTGTATATATGCATGTAAATATCTATAAAGTTTTCGCCACTTGAGTTGCTCGTGAGAGCATATTTCAAGGCTATCTAAACCAACTATTCAAATTTCTAAAACCGATTTCCAATCGAAATCCAAATCCAAAAGGTTCCCTCGGATTGATTTCCATGTCGATTATATAGTATAAGTACTTTGCTCAGTTTGATAGGTAATTTGGTTTACGAATACTGACACTTGAATGCTGAAACACAGTTGATCTTATTGTCATATGATGTATGTGTGTATGATGTAGGTATACGTATGTAGTTAATGCTAATGCCTTGCTAATGGGGGACTTCTGGGATCTCGGCTGGGGAAAGAACTGTGACAGATGATATGGGGTTCTCTCTGCACTATTTTGGAGATTGCCGTTGTATATATAAAGGATGTTACTCAATTGACTACTGTACATGTTTCATCATGCGTTTTGTTTCATAAATGTGTGTATATATGTATCTATTATATAGGAATAAATAACTATGTTTATCTAAATATGTTGTATGTCAATAAGTTGGTAATCCTACGATTAAAACAAAACTAAAAACTTCAATTCGCAGTGTGTAATGTTGGAATTATATTACAGCAAGTTCTTTATGTAGTATTTGGCCGGCTAAATATTGATTAAAAATCAACTATGTATTTTTGCACAGAATATAAAAACTCTTGACGACGACTTTATACGACACGAAAAAAAGATTTTTGGTGGCTGGCTGATAGGCTTGAAATGGTTCGTTCTTCAAATGTAATTGTTTTTTCAATCAACTAAAAGTCTCATTCAGCTTCCGTTTTCGCAAAGATTTCGATTTGGAATTTTCGAATTTCTTACTTTACATATCAACCAGCCTTCCATATTGAGCAATTCAACTATTAATATTGGTAATCAAAAAATAGATATATGTATATGTATATATTTATAGAGAGGGCGCTATATATGTATGTTCGATCTGGTAACTATATTTCAAAATTAGCAAGCTTCTACTTTGGGTATATATCTTTGGTACGAGAATGGGAAACAAAACATTTCATTGGATATAAGTGGTATGTTGTTTATTATATCGAATTCAGACTGTTGCAACTGTTACAAGAACAAATAACTAAGTAATTTCCTTATTTCTCGCACTGAATAAATGTTGAAGCTAACGGAAAAATAATCATAAATTATAATTTTTTCCAAGTATACAGTTAACATAGGCATTTTAAAAGCATTTTTTGACTTCTTGCTTTATTGGCTAGTATAAATAAGTGAAAAATGCAGTAATTAAATATACTTTTTTTATTTGGTTTGTTTTAAAAATTATGTCAATAGAACAAAATGTGTGTACGTAATCAAAAGGAATTTAACGTATTTTTTTTTGGTTTGGCAGGGTAAAATCAATCTTAAGCTAAAAGCAATTTTTCTGAGATCGAGATCTGACAGAGGAGTTTAAAAAATTATAAATATTAATATTGATAAGTAAATGGCACCATAGCATGTGTGGAATGTGTTAGAGTCTTAAGCATAAACAATAAATAAATAAATTAGTTTCTGCATATGAAGATGGTTCCCAAGACTCGAATTCAGCCCAGCAAATGTTAAAATCATTTTGGTTAATATGCAAAATCTTTGGTATACGAAAACGAATAATACATCATCAATACATACTCACCCCTCGAGGCGAAAGTCTACAGGAATTTAAAACAATTCTGCACAATCGCACATTCATTTACTTTTTGGTACTGGCAAATGCATCGAAATTTAATAAAGTCTACACATGGGTGAGAGGAGCAGATAAATAGAGAGAAAGACAGCACAGCACAACAACAGATACAAGAGTGTGGTTTACGAGGTAAATCAAATCAAATAATACGGTATGTGATCAAATATTTACAATCAAATTAATCAAATCATAAGAAAACACAAATGTTTGCTCAACTCATGGCAAAGTTGTTTGTTGTTTTGTTCGTTGGATTTTATTAAACACAAAAATTACTTCAAATGTTTCATTGTTTTCCATATAATGTTTGTATGAGTGTATATAAACTAGATATTTACATACGCAAAAAATTACTTTCCAAATGATAACTAGGAATTAAAATTAAACTTCAAACATGCAAGCGAATTAAATGAGACAAATACATAACTATCCAGGAAGTTTTCACGGGTTTCTTTTTATTTCGACCTCTTTTCTTGTTTTTCAATTGGTGAAGTATTTGTCGAATGCAAAATCAAATGCAAATGCTACAGATAAGGGTAATTACAAAATAATATTAAGAACTAAAATTGTGCCATTTAAAATAATAAGCTACAGTAAAATAATGTTACCTGGTTTATGAGTTGTTTGGATGGTTATGCAATTGAAATACGAGTTGGAAAAGGTTGGAAAATCTAGGGGATTAGTACTGCCCTAAAGACTTGTTTTCACTTGAATTTCTTATAAACTAAAAATGAAGCCGCTAGTCTCAGGCGGTCAAAACTATAATAATAATAAGCAAATGCCAAAATGTTCAACAAATGTTATTAAGTTACTTGCTACAAATGATTGAGATTGAATGGGAACTAAACTAGTTTTAAATATAAATCAAGAGTCGCACACTCAGAACACCACAAAAATTTGTTTTGTTCATTGTGGTTTTCGTATTACTATATTATTAAGTACAAAGAACAGAGTTGAAGAAATACAAGAATGGAGAATGGGAGGGAGTTTCGTGTAAAAGAGTTGGTGATGTCCGTTGGTGATTGGTTAAATCTGTTCTTTTAATCTATGCTGGGTGAATTAAATTCGAACTCAACTAAACTTCTAAAATAATAGTTTCGATTACGTTTAATCGCTTTAGTTGCGTTAGCTTGGTTTAAACATTAATTAATAACTCTTTGTCTTGAGCAAAATGTTTTCTTTTGCAGTTTCATTCAGTTAATTAATACTGCCCTTGCAGGAGTTTCTCTTTCATTTCAGTTGAGTTTAGGCCTCCAAAACAAATTAGAAAATTCTTCGATTTTCAATTACTGAGTTTAGGGCTCCAAAAAAAATTTCAAAATTCTTCGATTTTCAATTAGTGAGCGCCTTTCTTGATTAAACGAGCGTGAATTAGCTTATAAGATGCATTCCTTGCTCTTGCTTTTTATAAATATGTATTTATATTTACTTTTAGTGTTTTATTTATGTTTATTTTAATTTAGTTTTAGGTTTAATGGTTTTATATTATGCACTAAAAATTATATATTAACGGCTACATTTAAACGCAATCACAATCGGTGGTTTTTTAATGTGTTTTCCTTCTTTTGCTTCTCTATCGCTCTGTAATTTTTGCTTTTTGGTTTTGAATTTTGTTTTTCCTTGAATTCGCTTTGCTTTGCTTCCTTTTGTTTTCTTTTTTTTCGTTGCCTATAAGTAGTCCGATACTAACTAACATATAAATGATTTGTTATATATTTATATGTTAATTAGCATTTATTAAACTCGCCCGAGGGCGCCTTAAATATAATACTTAACTTGCCTTCCGTTTATCGGACTACCAACTAAGCCAAACTCAAAGGAAAACCAACTTCGAATGAGTGTGTTTCTGCGTGGTTCTATGAATATTTATGGATGGGACCATGTGGATTTTGAATGGTTCTACAACTAAGGGGTGGTGGTGTGTGGTGAGTGTTTCATTCAAGTTACCAAACAGACCCGTGTCTTAGACATACATGCCCATGCCGTACATGGTGCTCCAATCGACGCCCTGGAAGCTAGACATGTCAACGTTAGCCAGTGCATAGTTGGAGTAGGCAGCCGCCGGATTGGCAGCAGCGGCGGCAGCAGCGGCATTCAGCGGATTGCCGGCCATCAGCCCCGCCTGCTGGGCGGCAGCGGCCAAGCTGTGGGCTCCAGCACCTGCACCATTCGCCGCGTTAGCCGCCAGAGCGGCAGCCGCTGCTGCCGAGTGCGCCTGCGAAGCGGAATTCGAGACGGCGTTGTGGTGGTTCTGTTGCTGCTGCTGGGCAGCGGCCACATGGGCGTTGTGGGTTTGCTGCTGCTGGTGGTGATGCTGCTGCTGTTGCTGGTGATGGTGGGCAGCGGCGGCCACGCTCTGCGCCTGATGGGCCTGCATCAAGGCGGCATTGGCAGTGGCGGCGCTGGCAGGGATCGAGTAGGGTGCATACCTAAAAGGGGGAAAGCCTTCTATTAGTTGGGTTTTCAAAACGGATTGTGCCAGATTTTACCGGACAGACTACTCACCTCACGCTATGCAGCGCTGTCTGCGGATATGTGGTCAGCAGCTTGCCGAAGCCCGCCTGATTGGCCATCGAGGCGGCCGCGGCGGCGTTTTGTACTTGAAACGGATTCTGTGATATGAGCGCGGCCTGTTGGGCTGCGGCGGCGGCTGCCGGGGATTGCAGCAGCTGTGCGGGGTTCTGCAGCATGGCCAGCGGGTTCATGGTGGCGACGCCAGCACCACGGCCTCCAATCAGCTGGCCCGGAGCGGTGGGCAACTGTACGCCCAATGTGCCCAACATAATGCGCTTCTGGAGGAGCTGAGCGGCTGGAGTGACCGCCTCCTTGGGCTGTGCCTTCTTGCACTCGACCTTCTTGTTCTTGATGGTGTGGAAGTGGATCTCGCAGACGCGATCAACCACATCCTCGTTCTCGAACGTGACGAACCCAAAGCCACGGTGGCGCTTCGTTTGCTGGTCCATCAGCATTACCGTCTCCTCGACGGGTCCGAACTGGCTGAAGTAGGCCTTGACCTCCTCGGCGGAGGTATCCTGCGAGACGCCGCCCACGAATATCTTCTTGGTCTTGTTGGCCTGGCGAGGTCGGTTCTTTGGCGTGGCATGCTTGGGATCGATCTTCTTGCCATCGAGTGTGTGAATGGGCACCTTGAGGACCTTCTCCACGGTGCAGGGTTCTTGGAATGTGATGAAACCAAAGCCGCGACTGCGCTGTAGGTGTTCAATGCAGATTTGTGTGTGAGTGGGGAAGAAAAACAAATAAGCACAGATTCATTAGTTGGGATAAATTATCAACTATAAGACACGGTTAGAGGCGTCTAAGTCTAAGTTGCAAATGTTGTAGTTATATAACTAGGATTAATAATCGTAAAATGTCCTACGTAACGTTAGCAAAGATCCAACAAAGTAAGAATCAATCAAGTCGATCGGAACTCAATCTTCCACAAGTATATAAAAATTATATATATATAGATATATGTAAACATAGATACGGATACAGTTTATATGCATGTATGTAGATGGCTTTATCGACTGAATTGGCGTGGCGTTTTTACGCTTTTTGCTCATCAAGTTCGCATTGTCTTTCCTTTTTTTTATTGTGGTGTAAACACAAACAAGTTTTAATTTAAGTCTAAAGAACACAAAATATGTTTTAACTAAAAACTAAAATTTATCTAAGGATACTTTTGCTTTGTTAACAGAATACCAATATTTTTACGCAAGTAGATCGATCGTTATATGGTCATTTGCTAAACTGAAACATACATATATCACAGAAACATTACGAAATATATGCATTCAACGTGTTCTCCATACTGATGCGACACCCCTCTATATCCCAAATATATTTAGGTAGGAGGCATAGATATATACACGAAAACTGGAGGATACCAAAACTTTCGTTCATTCTGCACTGAATGCAAACTCAACTCAAGGATACAAATGTTTGTGGCAATTACATATGGTGTACGTGATATTAAGGCTTTAGTGGAGAAGTGGTGACAGTGCATTTTAGAACTATAGAACAATTATAATCAGATTTTAAAGGAAATCTACATGGTAAATAGTTTGCCAGAATAAAAGATTACTGCATTTTTAAATGTATTTTTTACAATAAATTACTAAAAGATTTATTTTCAGTATTAAACAAGTTGTCGAATAGTTCTAAAACGCATTGTTTTAAAGATAGGTTATTTGGAAAAAGTGGTAATGCTCTAAATGTGTTCTAAAAATGGTCAGAAGCGCACTGTTGAAACCCGTTTTGCCATACAATTTGTTTTCTTCGGTTAGTTTTGCTTAATAATTACTTAATAGATTTTACAAAGAATGAGTCTTCAATGTGTGATATTGTTGCTTAGTCTAAGTATTATTTCTTGTACCAGTTACGTATATTACAGTAATGGGGAATACATTTTTTCTTAAGCCTAGGGCAAAGTACATTCAAATGGCTGAAATACAATTTATTATACATAATTCCAGAGAGAAATCGAGAGACTATAAGACTACCTACCTAAATAAAATAGTAAGAGTAAAATATATAATTTCTAGATTATTAATTAACCCTCAGGTAAAATCTTTCTTTAAACAATGAGCTTCATTTATTGGCGGGGATTGGTAGGGAAACACATCTATCTACTTACTTATACAGGACCTAGGTTATATCCTAATATTTTCGATTTATGAAATTATGCCGATTTCGTGTTCTAATTACTAAGCATAATGGATTTCTTTCAATTAATATGGTTACAAACAGGGTCTCAAGAATAAAAAATCAACAACGTAACACAACTAAAAATATTTGCTCGAGTGATATTCGAACTACACAACTAAAAAATGTTGAGGTACTTATTTGGTTGGTTAATTTATATGATTTGATATGCCAAAGAAAATTAAAAAGCATTAACTAAACACGCACAAACAAAATGTCGCATAATGGTTATTTATAAGATGGTCTAGCGTTTACGGGGTCTTGTAATATGGTAATAAATATTGTATGTATAGGGTAATTTATGCCAAACTAAGGTTCTTATTTATGTTACACAATCAATTCAACAGTTGCCAGGACGATTTTCGGTTCCATCTTACGCTAAAGTGGGAACGTGGGCATTGGAAAGTATTATTATTGGGGGTAAAGCACGCCTCTTAACTATAGTTTGAATTGAAATCTAGGTTTAAAAGTGGTGGAAGATATGAAAGATATACTCGTTAGTTTGATTTGCTTTGAGGCTTGCTTAAAATCAATGCATGGAATTTTATTTTAGTTGAAAACTTATTTTTTTTTGTGGTGAGAAACGCTAAAACAAACCAAGTACGCAATGCGGAGTACAAGTACGATTAGGAGTACAAGAACGAGTACATTCAATTAGAGATACAAGTACAATTATGCAGTTATATTTATTGCTCAGAGTTATACGAAATACGAGAGTTACGATGCGCCAGTTTTGAGTAATTCAAGTACGCTAAACGTTCTCTTTTTATACAGTAGTTAAAGTACTTGGCGATTGCTTTTTGTGGATTTTGTTTTTATAAATAGTACCTAAGCCGTCGCTGGTTCGTCATCCTGTGGTTGGCATCGTGGCTACCTGGGCCAGGTATTCGCTGGTTCCTTTATTGGCTTCCGGCCACGTCCTTGACTCGAGACTCCTCACTTTCAGTTGTGGTTTTATGTTCATCAAAATTATGTTATGTTTAGTAGTTCGTACATTTAGTTTACTACATATGACTAGCTATATAATTGACTGATCTTAGGTTCTTATGGACTACAGTGCTCCCCCAGCTTATCGCAAGGATCGTCTTTATAGGCGATACGAGGCCTGAAGACAGTTGGTAAACCAGTTTTCTTTCGCTTCTGTTGTTTTTCTTCATTCTTTTGTTTGTTTCTTGTTTTGTATACTCTTTCAAAGGGGGGGAAAAGGAACAAAAGGTGTTTTGTGTGTGTATATCTTTCGGGGTCTACTTGAGGGGACAGGACAACCCCGTTAGTCGATCGCGGCGAATACAACTGCCCTATCATGCAGTCGTGGCAGCCCGACTCATTCCGTAATTGCGCAATTGGCTCGGAAACAACCCCAGGTGTGTACCTATACGTATAGAATTGTCCTGTGCCGAATCCAAATACGTCGAACCCTAGCTGCGGAGGTCGCAGGAACAGCTGCGCCGCAGGAACAGGACTCGGAACAATGCGGCAGCTGCTGTTTTATGGCCCAAAAGCAGCGCGCGCTCTTTTTCGTTGGGGAGCCACATTGTACATAATCGAATTGAAATAAATGTGTATGTTCCAACTAAATGCATGAAGGATGTCTGGGTAATGTCCGCTTATCAAGCGGACAAATTGCTCAAAGCATTAAGCATTTCGAAAAGTCAATTTCCGTTGCAATAACTCTTGTTTTTCGGGGGAAGTCCCCTATCGCAAGAAATCGGGAATGTCGAAATAATTTGTCAGCAGACCTTTGACGTTTCTAAGAAACAAGGTGTTCTGAAAAGTATTCAGGGAATGCATTTGTGTGCAATCAGTAATCAAATAAATTAAGAGCTTTCTGCTCTAAAAATAGTATATCTAATAGTTTACCTAAGAACCTACTTACGAGATAAAATAAATAAACTAAAGGCCACTTAGAAGAACTAATAATCAATTATAGTTTAATTGGAAAACGCTTAAAATAGGCAATTATGATATCTTAACCTTATTCCTTGCTTTTTAAGGTGAATTGTAAGGCCTCAAATTTATCAGGAAATGGTGGCCAGCATGTTCAAAGGAAAATTGATACACCCTGCATACAAATTATGACACGAAAATTGGTTCTTAAGTTTGTGTCTCAATAAACAGTTCCGAGTTGATCAACCCCGACAAGCTGATCTACATATAAAACCTGATTTATTTAAATTTGGATTCGGTGGTCCTTTAGTCGCCCTCTCCCTCTTCCCCTCCTTCTTGGTCGTCTTTTGTTTTTGGCACGTAACGCCGAAAGAACTGTAATTCTAAACCTCTGCTGGAAGGCAGAAAAAAGGAGAGGATGCAAAGAGGGCGACAAAAACCTGCAGTTCTGCAGCTGTGCAAAAGGTAAATCACAAAGAGTAGGGACCGATATCAATGGTAGCTGTAAACCCGAAAGGCAGGGGATTATGGAGGTACATCATATATGGAATAGATATAATAATAGAAATAGAGGATATTTCGGCTTACCTGGGTGACGGGATCCTTCATGATGAGCACATCGGTGACGGTGCCAAACATGTTGAAGTATTCCTTGAGCTTGTCGGATGATGTTTGCCAGCTGAGGCCGCCAACGAATAGTTTCCCGGGTGCGGGATCAGAGCCACTGACTCCGCTCAAACTGGGCGTGGATCTTCCGGAGGAACCGCTCTTGTTGCTGCCATTATTTTGCCCCGTCCCGGCGGAGGCATTCACATTCTCCTTGAGCAGAGCGAGGGCCGCCTGTTGGGCCTGCTCCTGATTGGGCTGATCCTGTCCAGCAGATACTACCACTGAGTTTTGGCTCTGTTGTACCGCTTGCTGCGATTGCTGGGCGGCACTTTTCAAGACCGCGGCTGTGGTCAATCCGCCGCCAATGGAGGCCACACCATTGTTGGCTATCGAGGCCACCAGAGCCTGGTGCAAGTCCCGATTGTGATGCGGATCGATGAGGCCTGCTGCTGCGGCGGCGGCTGCTGCAGCCGCATTCTCCATGGGATTACTGCGGACATAGAAGAAACTATCAGCGGTGAGCAGGTGATCCTCGCCAGAAGTGGGTGGCGGCGGCGGCTGGCGGTGCAGCATAGTGGCGCCCTCCTGAAGAGCGTGCATTTCCTGCTTTATCTGAATTTTGAAGCCGTTCAAAGAACAGTTACTCGCGTTAATGGACTTTTTTAGCTGTTTTCCTTTGTGGTTTTTTTTTATTTGACTTTCTAGCAGTTGTACGGCTTTCCCAAAAAAAAAGTAGAGACGTTGCTTCTTCTTTGGTTTTTTCAGACTGCCTTCACCACTTGCTTTGACTACGCTTCCTTTTTTCGGCTTTACTTTGTGTTGTTGCCAATGGCAATGAATAGTGTTTTTCCGGTTGTTCAACAAGCTCGCGAATTAATGCTAAGGGCTAATGCTATAAATATATGCCCAAAACGTTTATGGAAATGTTCTAGCAACACGAAACTAAATTGTATCCTTTATTTATTCTATTTCGTTCTCGGCCTTTTTGCGGTTGCGACTGCGCAGTTTGAAAACTGAATTCGAAATGCTGTTGGCTGTTCGTTTTCAGAAGCAGAGTGCGCAAGGGAATTCAAAAGACTCGCGACAGCTGTCACGCGAACAGGGTTGCCGAGCAGCCGTCAGAGGACAGCTGCAAGGGTGTCGATAGTTTTTGAAAATTTAGGGTACGATAGGGGATAAAATTAATATTTAATATTTATTGCCATCAAATGTTTTGCAACTCTAGCTGTCGAGCCTTAGGTAATTAATTGGAAATATTGTACTACTGGCGCATAGAAACACCCATACATTTTTAAAACTTATGTTTGTATTTTTACTATCAACGGCTTTTAGGCTTTTATAAAAAGGCTATACAAGTTTTACCTATCCAAATCCCGGGAACTTTGACAGTTAAATTAAAATTTAATTTCTAAATAACACACCACTTTAAAATTTTTCTTTGCATACGCGTGGAAGAGTGAGGGAGACAGGTAACAATAAATAATAGAGTGCAAAGAGATGTTGAGATCGTTTTCATCCACTTGAAAAGTATTGAGATGGTATAAATGTTTATGATTTACGATTGAAAGGTGATTCTATTAACTCATTATCACATAAAATCGAACCGAAAATTCAAGACCAGTTGGAGGCACAGAGGTCATTTAGAGGTGTGCCACTTTAAAATCGGATGTCTGTAAGAAAAGTTATGGGCTTGGACGTGCAGGTTTTAGGCCACTTTTCTGCAAAGCCATTTTTCGAAAATTTGGAAAGGGGTAACATCATTAAAATTATGAAAAATCGACCCCAAAATACAAATCAAGTTGAGAACACAGATTTTTAGAGGATTAAACCACAATCATTTAGAGGTATGCCACTTTAAAATCGGATGTCTGTAAGAAAAGTTATGGTCTTGGATGTGCAGGTTTTAGGCCACTTTTCTGCAAAGCCATTTTTCGAATATTTGGAAAGGGGTAACATCATTAAAATGATGAAAAATCGACCCCAAAATAAAAATCAAGTTGAGAACACAGTTTTTTAGAGAATTAAACAACAATCATTTAGAGGTATGCCACTTTGAAATCGGACGTCTGTAAGAAAAGTTATGGGCTGAGAAGTGCAGGTTTTAGGCCACTTTTCTGAAAACCAATTTTTCGAATATTTGGAAAGGGGTAACATCATTAAAATTATGAAAAATCGACCCCAAAATACAAATCAAGTTGAGAACACAGATTTTTAGAGGATTAAACCACAAGTTTTTAGAGGTATGCCACTTTGAAATCGGATGTCTGTAACAAAAGTTATGGGCTAAGAAGTGCAGATTTTATGTCACTTTTTTGTGTTTTTTTTTCAGAAACTAGACAATGATATTTGATTATATTATTATTATTATTATTTTAAGGACTTAAGTTAATACCCATCTTTAATAAAACCTACTTTTTCAATTTGCTTGATTTCTATATTATTTTTAAATTAAAAATTTAAATTGACCGTTTAAAATCTTGTTCGGAGCGTTTTTTAGAGAGTTTCCTGCTAATCTATAACTGTGCGATTTCATCCCAAAGGTCCTTCCCATTTTGTTTATCACGATAATAGGCGGGATAATTAAAGTTGGCGCAATGATTCGTTTGGCTTTTGTTAAGGACGATGTCTGGTTTACCAAGGACTCAGCGTATTACGAGTATTGTGAGACGCGACAGGGACCGTGGTACAAGCATAAGAGCCGAAAGGTGAGTACCTATAGTTGGTTTAATAAACTAGTATATATATGTACTTTTCTACAGTGGGGTGGCCGCGATGATTATGAATGGCCACCTGGACTAATAATGGCCAAGCAAGGCGATGTCAATGGTCCTTCATGTAAGTTAATAATCAAATCTAAATATAGACTGTTTAATTTTCAATTTAACAATTAGTGAAAGAACTGAAATTATACTACTATTAAATTCAGATTTAATTTTTAACTATTTTCTTTGACTGTTTTCTGAAGTTAAATGTAATGCATTCAATTTCAGCGCTTCCCAAAAACTTTTCTTAAAAATTTGTATTATTTAAGGCTTTTGGCTTGTCTTTTCTGTTACCGCGCTGGCCGTTTTTTGGCGTTTTTTGTCACCGAGCCTATTTTTTGAATGGGAGGCGTTGAAAATTTTCATGATCAACGAATTTAACGATAAATAATGAATATGAAAATTGTCCATGCATTCCAGATTCGGAGGACGGTGACAAGAAAGGTGAAGACGGTCCGAGCGTTCAAGCAGTTGTAGGCCATGCAGTTGTTACAGGGGCAGCTTTGGGCTTGGCAACATTGCTTTAAATTACATAAGACGAAGAAGATTGTTTAACAAATTATGGCGCGAGACGCTCTTACTTCCATCAGGGCACTCATTTTTATATTTATTTGTAATGTATCTCCAACAGTCGAGAATGATGACAAAAAAAAGAAGTAAAATTCGCCTGGATTGGAGGTGGCGAAATTAGCATCGAGACTATGTATTTCATAAATCTGAATATAAGGTTACCATCATGTAGTCTGACCATAAGCTTTCGAATTCATTAAGAGGGACTTCCAATGCTGTTGAACGAGCTCTAAAACGAGGTTTGATGGCAATCTTGAAATCGATTTAAACTAATTTTCACTATTTCACAGAGATATATTCAAGCATTCCACTGAGACTTAAGAGTGTCACTGCATAACTTTCAAATTGACAAGAAGAAAATCGTACTATCCTATTTTAGGTTTATTTATATAGAACTATTTTATATGTATATTAAAAAAAATAAATATATTTCATTTAGTCTCCCTATAATTTGTAACATTTAAAAATTTTTGGCTACTTTTTCATTTAATTAATTTTGTTTTTGCTCTTTGCAGTTAGATACAAATACTTTTTTCAGTAAAAGCTGTTAGTTAGCCCTAGGAATATTAAAACCTTAAAAAATATAGTTTCTTAGATCGGGAATATATAGTTTGATGCTTGACACGCCCACAAATATATTTTCTGCCGCCATACAAAGAAATTAGAAACAATTTAATTTATATTTAACAGTTGTTTTTTTTAATTACTGATAATTATTTGGTAATTTAGACATCTTAGGTAATAATAGGTAATTAGGTAATAAAGGACAAACTTTAAAAACGGCGCCAAAACAGTATGACCACCTTGGAGAAAACGCAGAATGTCCCGTAACGCCTTGCGAAAGTGACCAGAAAGCGCCTATACTTGCGTTCAACGCAAAGGTGGTCACACTGCCCAGACCTGAAATCTGTTTGTCGCGAAATTCTCCGTTCCGCCGCCTTTTCCGCGAGAAAAAAATGCTGTCGATTGGAGCCGGGGGGTGGGGGGCAGGTCGCCGCGAACACTTTTCCGTGGAAAGTGATCGAATACACCAGTTTTCCCGTCGCGTGTGTTACCCATGTGCAAAATACAGTGCTGCCAGACGGTCAAACTGAACTTTACTGGTTTTTCCCCAATTTCTCAGTTTTCCGAACTCGGCCACCAGCGTGAGACCCCCAAAAGTTGCGCCCCGCTCCCCCGCATCTGCCACGACCCTGGGACCCCCTCAGAAAAGAGGAGGAAACGCTCCCAAGCCTCCCGACCGAAATCATACCATCAAGACTGCCAGCGTTGCCCCCCTCAAGACCCTCCCCATCCCGGCACTGCCATTTCGCGGATGTCGTATATTTTTACTTATACTACTTTGTTTACATACAAGGTATCGCTGGCGCCCTCATTCGGCAAGAAGCAAAATATCTCACCGCCATCTAGCGTGTAGTAGACGTGGTATGCTAACACCAGATGGAGCATGAGCGCACATCCGCTACCTCGTGCGTATAATGTATATTAATATAAGAGTCGCGAGGTCCGGGCAGTGTGACCACCTCTATGTTGAACGCAAATATAGGCGCTTTCTGGCCACTTTCGCAAGGCGTTACGGGACATTCTTCCTTTGAGGCTTAAATTATTTGCCATGCCGCACCCGCGCGCCCAGGTGGACAAGCGCCTCCCACAGGTGGATGATCCGTGCCGGACAAGCGGGATTTTAAAAAACCTGGACGGCCTAAAACGGTTAAGAGATCACGGCAGGTGTTTCTACTTGATGGCAGACGTCATACACCTGACTGGGGTGTGTACCTAGTCCCATGAATAATATTTAAACAATTTACCTATTATTACCTATTATTACCTTATATGTCTAAAATACCAAAAATGTATCAGTAATTAAAAAAAATAACTTAAATATAAATTAAATTGTTTTCTAATTTCTTTGTATGGCGGCAGACATGTCTTTCCAAAGTAGTTGAGAATATCCTTTAAATGTAAAATCTTTTAAAACGATGTAGAAAATATAATTGTGGGCGTGTCACGCTTAAAACTATATATTCCCGATCTAACAAATTCTTTTTTTATGGTTTTAATATTCCTAGAGCTAAGTTGAAGCTTTTATTTGTATCTAACTGCAAATAGTAAAAACAAAATTAATTAAATGAAAAAGTAGCCAAAAGTTTTTAAATGTTACAAATTATAGGGAGACTAAATGAGCCCTTCATGTCTTCCATATAAATATTAATAGGAGCTCAACGACAACCGGCTGTATCTAAGTAAAACAAAATAAATAACTCGCTCAAATATGAATATGTTTTGATAATGCCCTCAGCAAATTGCTGTACCTTTTGTGTGGACATCCCCTGCAAGTCCTTCCTTCCTTCCCAAATGTAATCTCATTTTCCAGGGCGCCTGCGCCTTTCACCAAGCCAAAACGAAGGAAAGTTCGGGCGAAAAGAAAAATCCCTAAAAAACATGAATTGGTTGCTGCTTGGGACAATATTCAGTCTTAAATTGGGACCATGTTTTTTTTTGTGTGCTAAATGGAACGCATGTGTGTGTGGGCAAAAAGAAATGGTGGGTGCGTTATGTGCGTTATTGATTTTTGGCTCGGGAAATGGGAAATAATGCCAACGGATATGAAATTTATTAAAATAGATTGCCAAATAATTCAATGAAGATGTTGAAAAGCAAGCTTTGATGGTGGGTGACTGGGGGTGGTATTTCGGGGTGGGGTTTTCTCTGCACGTGTGTGGTTTTTCCTCCATCGGTTGTTGAACTTTACGAAGCGACGTCGTCTGCAGGATTTTTTGCCGTGTGAAAGACGTCTGTCAATTTTATGGCTACTGACCCAGAAAAATGGAATGTTAAAGAAGCCTTTTAATGGAAGGAGCAGGGCGTCACAAATACAGCAAGGATTTACTGAAATTTGTGTGGGAAATACCCAAAAATGGTGATGGCGATGACATCAGCAGTCGTCATCGCGATATGTAATTCGATTAGGCGCACTTAACGTCCGCCCTCTTCATATAGAAACCCCTACTGCTCTCATTCTACGCCTCGCATTTTAATTGCGTCAAATAAACAGCAGGGAAGGTGCTTGGTCACGAGCCTTCATCCAACTTTTTATGGCCTCCCCTTCGCGGAGTGATGGCGTACACACTAAATGAAGCACTTAAAGGTGACTTTATATATTTAAGGACGTTGTTCAAGACGGAACAAGCAGGGAAAACTAATCGTTAAGTAGCTGTTTGGATGGGCACAATATGTATAATTTATCTGAACAATCTGTATAATTTATCTTTGATAAAAAAAAACTATTTAGAAATTTTAACAATGTTTTACATTGAACTTGAACATTATAACGAAAATATAGACAGAGAAATGGATCTATAATTTGCAAAAATTAAATTCATCATTATATTACCTGGCTGGCTTTAAGATATTTCATTTTGAATTGAAAATACATTATTCGAAATGCTAAAGGCAAAACATTTTTATAATTATTTAAACATTTAAACAAAATGATCATAAACAACCTCAAGTAAAAGCTGATAAATTGTTGGCTTGCACCTAAAATCTCCAACTGATTATTCAGCTGCCCTTTAACGACTCCCTCGTTCAAAGCCGGTTGTCAGGACGAAATACTTTCAAATCCGCATCGGCGATCCGGTGACAAGCTGCAATCTGAAAGCAACTCAATCTACGAGTGGTTTTCCCCTGGGCCAAAAATTGCAATGCAATTTGCCGGATCCGTTGCCAGAAACAACAATAACAATCGGGGGAAAACATGAAAGGCTTGCTCCAACAATTTCCCACTCTCTCACCTGCCGTTTATCCTTTGCCCTGCATTCTACACCCACCCACCCAAGTGCATCAAATTTGTGTAGACATAAAACTGCAGTTCAGTGAAAAACGAGAGAGAGCTGTATTTTCATTCAGAAAAATGCCACAAAATGAAAATGCGATGGACGGCAACTCTTTTCGGGCTAAAAGCATATGGCGCAACTTTATTGTTTTTACATTTGATTTTGCCAAATGTGTGGAGGCGGAAGCGGGGGCGGGGGGTAAAAGCACTTGCAGTGGGAAAAGTGCAGAGGGCCACGGAAAACGCCGCATAAACTCGGCTCTGGGAAAAGTCTATATATCATATATGTGCGATTTACGGGGGGTGGCTTTCGGATTTGAGCACTGGAAGCAGCGAAGCTGACTGGAAGCAACCACCCTCGAAAAAGAAGCGCCCTCCCGTACACCGAGCAAAAATCTGCTCTAGTAAAAACGCATTTCCACCGGCGGGACATAAATCCCGCCGTGCGAAAGAGAGAGAGAGAAAGAGAGCGAGACAGTCGAACCAACCCCCTGAAATCGGGGGAGATATATTTTGCAATTGGAATGCGCGCGCAACCCTCGAAAGCCGACGAAAATCGAGACGATGGTGGCCGCTACCCTGGGCTGCCTTTCAGTCAACTTTGGGTTTCCGTACGTGCAATTTCTCCCGGACCGATGACGGATCGCACGGACTTCGAAAGCGGGCCAGAAACTAACCCAAATCCCTTTTGGATAGCCCCCACCTAAAAAAGCGACCCCCAATGTGTTTCAGCTAGTGAATAAAGTGCTGCAAAGAAATATTTGCAAAGGCGAAGAGATCGAAAAAGGATATATGTCACGAAATCGGACGCTTGCCATTGATATTGTCCTGTCACAGCAGTATTGTAACACTATATTATAGCTTACTGCTGGGTCGGGGCATTAACATTGTTGAGCGTCATTAGCAACGAGAGGCGGCCAGGAAAAGCCGACGAAAACGCACCAAGCTTTCTTTCCGGCTTTGTGGAAAACACACAAACACACGATGCGATTGTGTGTGTATATGAGCAACCGGAAAAATCAATTTTCCATTTTTAATTCAAAGCTCACACAGCACAGGACACTCGCACACACGCACACAACGCACGTGCATGTATATATACAGATATATATGTATCGGGCCAAAAAGGGATAAGCAGGATGCTGTAAACTGTGCGGGGCGAGCGAGAGGGAGAGAGAGCGTGAAAGGGACAGAGACAGCCAAGGAGAGAGCAAAGAGAGAGCACATTAGCACACAGGGATAAATCGCATTTTGTATAGACAAAAGCTGAGAAAATTAATCAAAATTAGTTTAGCAAAATTAAACGAAATAATAGTTGTTAGTTTAGGAAAGGATAAGCCATGTTTAGCCTTTTATTATAATTCCCAACTCGTTTTTTTCTCTTGAGATTTTGTAAAAATAGAATCCAAAAGAGCGACCACTCCCTGATTTTTCTCGCTGTTCGTGGGAGTTCCTCGGTGGGCTGAAGAAAATCATTAAGG